TGGGGCGCGAGCGGCGCGGACGGGTCCGGGTAGGGCACGGCGTGGATCGCCGCGACCATGGCGCCGAAGCGGCGCGCGTCCGCGTGGTCCTCGAGCGTGTTCCGCCACCTGGGCGGGAAAAGGGTGATTCGACGTCGCTTCAACGTGGGTATCCCGCGCGCGCGCGTTCCGGAAACAGCACCCACGCTTCGAGAGCGCTCCGAGACCTGATCGCTCGTCCAAAAATCAGCCGAAACGAGTGGACAACGGCCGAGATGGGAGCCTTTCAAGTTGGGAACGTCGCGCCCGTTTCCCGCCCCGCGCGCCACGCCGTCGTCTCGACGCGCGCGGACGGGATGAACTGCTGGACGAGCGCGGTCTCGTCGGCGGCGAGCACGGCGGCCGTCACGCCCGCGTCGCTCGCGGCGACGGTGTTCGCGACGCACGACTCCGCGAAGCGCCGGTTCCACGCGTTCGCCTCGTACCCCGCCGGCAGCACGCGCACAAAGTAGGACTCCTGCACGGACTCGCCGTTGGACCGCTGCTCGGGCACGTCGACGCGGTAGGTCTGGCCGTTGGACCCGCCCATGGACGTCGCCCGCATCTTGATCGACGGCGCGCGCACGTGGTCGGGCAGCAGGCGCCGCACGGCGTAGACGGCGCGCGGGCCGCGGCCGTCGCCGCTCGGCGGCTCCGGCGCGGCCCGCATGGCGGCGCCGCGTCGAGGTTTTTCAGTGCCTGGGCTCCCCGGGAGTTGTGTCGTCGCACCGTCACGGCCCGGGCTGCCTGCGACCGCCCATGTCCACGCCTTGCCAATTCTGCAACTTAAAAGAGGGTGCACATGACGTTGCACACGTCGAGCGCCGTTAGAGCAGGTGCAGCGCGTCGCGCCGCGGGGACCCGCTCGGCGGCGGCGGCGGCGCGTCGTCGTCCTCGGCGCCCGGCGCCTCGCGGAGCGCGGACTCGCAGACGAGGCGCGCGCCCGCGCGGAGCGGCGCGAGGAGGAGCGCGTTCGACAGCGGCCCCACGGCGACGACGAAGACCGCGGGCAGGCCGAGCATGAGCGCCATCTGCGCGGCGTCGGCGAGGCGGCCCGGGAGCGTCGACGCGGCCTTGAGCGCCCGGAGGAACGCGACGGCGTCGCCGAGGACGTAGGGGTGGACGACGTAGGCGCCGAGCGTCGTCGACCCGAGGAGCCGGCACCGCGTCCGCGACGCGGCGGCCGCGCAGAACATGAGCGCGGCGAGGCCCGCGTTGACCCCGATCTCGAGCGCGAAGCGCCGGAGGACGAAGGCCCCGGGGACCGCGGCCTTGTGGTGCACCGGCCGCTTCGCCGTCTTCAGGTGGACGGGCATGGGGCTGTCGACGGGCGGGTTGCCCAGGCCCCACTCCAGCTTGAAGGACCCGAAGAACATGGCGTCGTGGACCGGGTGCGCGCGCGTCCACGCCGCGCAGCCCGCGAAGTACGCCGCGAAGCACGCGAGCGCCCGGAGCTTCCGCGCGGCGCCGCGCTCCGCCTGTGTGGAAACCAACCACTGGTTTGGGTGGTCCTGACCAAACTCGAGAATTCTCTAGCTCGGTCAAATCGAAGTCGATTCGGCTGATTTTTGGACGGATCGATCGCTCTCGTCGAATTCTCGAAGCCCAGCCGAAGAGCTCGTGTCAAAACATTCGAATACGCTCACATTGAAGTCGGGTTGAAGATTTGGTTTCCACACAGCGCTCCGCGGGGCACGGCGGCGGGCCCTTGGACCGCGCGCGCCGCAGGAGCGCGCCGCGGACGTGGGGCGCCGCGGCGTAGGCCGCGAAGTAGATGAAGAGCATGGAGAACATGCCCTGCCAGACGACGACGCCGCCCCAGAAAAAATATCGGCCCGCGAAGCGAAAAACCGCCGCAAACGGCCCGGCGCCCCGGGGCCCGCCCGCGGCGAAGGCCACCTCGAGGTTGCAGTCGCGCATCATCGTGTAGGGCGCCAGGAGGGCCAGCGCGCCGAAGCACGCGGCCGCGCCGGCGAAGGCCGCGGTCCGCCGGTCCGCGCCGCCGCGCCGCGCGCCGGCCAAAAGCCACCGATCGACGGCCCGCGACGCCAATCGCGCGACGAGCTGGAAGAGCACGTACCAGCGGTGCACGGCGACGACGTCCCAGTCCATGTCGACGCCGATGCCCCGCAGCGCGACCTTGTAGGGCCCGTCGAAGACGCCGGGGCACCGCGCGCCGAAGACGGGCTCCGTCCACAGCGCGAGCCCCGCGAGTGCCGCAGAGCAGCTGTGGCAGGGGCCAGCGCATGGCCAGGTAGACCGCGAGCGACGCCAGGTCCCGCGCGCCCAGCGGCTGGGCGTGCGACGCCGCGCACGCGTCGTCGTACGCGTCGACGAGCACGAACAGGAACAGCGACTGGCCGTTGCCGACGGACCGCAGCGCGAGCGAGCAGGCCGTGTTGAGCGGCGGGTGGCGCTGCGTCGTCGGCGCGACGCCGTCGACGAAGAAGGGCAGCGAGAACATGGCCTGCGCGACCTTGGGCGCCGCGCCGTTCATCGTCCAGTGGTCGACCTGGGCGGGAAAAGGGTGCGAAATTCCCAACTTTGGAGGCTCCTATCTCGGTCATGTTCCACTCGTTTCGGCTGATTTTGAGACGAGCGATCATCCCTCGGAGCGCTCTCGACGCGTGGATGCTTTTTCCCGGAACGCGCGCGCGCGGAACACGCATGTTGAAGCGAACTTGAATCACCCTTCTCCTGCCCAGCGGTCGACGACGACGCCGAACATGCCCCACGCGCGCGCGTTGTCGACGACGCGCCGCTCGGCGGCGAGGAACTCGGCGTCGGCGCGCTCGCCGGCCTTGAAGGCCTTGACGAGGCCCAGGGAGTCGACGCCCGCCTTCGCCAAATCCGCGGCGTACGCGGACGCGAGGAACTGCGACATCGAGAGCCCCGACGGCGCGGACGCGGGCGCCCGCGCCGCGTCGAGGGCGCGCGCCGCCTCGCGCGCGAGCCGCCGCGCGTCGGGCTTGCCGCTCTCGAGGCGCGGGAGAAACGCCACGGTCCGCGCGAGCCGGAGGCGCACGTCCGTGCGCGCCTCGACGCTCGCCGCCCAGTCGACGGTCGCGTCGCCGGCGACCGCGGCGACCAGCTGGCCGTCGCCGACGAAGGACACGTGGGCCTCGCGCGCGCCGGCGTCGCGCAGCGCGGTCTCGAGCTCGCCGAGGTCCACGCGCCGCCCCGAGGCCTTGACCTGTGTGGAATTCGACCGCCGGTTTGGGTGGTCCCGACCAAACTTGAGCACGCTCTCGCTCGGCCACATCGACGTCGATTCGGCTGATTTTTGGACGAATCGATGGCTCTCGTCGAGTTCTCGAAGCACGGCCGACGAGTCTGGCGCAAATCCGCTCAATGACGCGCACACTGAAGTCGGGGTGAAGATTTGAATGCCACGCGGGCCTCGACCTGGCGGTCGAGGCGCCCCGCGACGCGGAGCGAGCCGTCGGCGCCGCGGACCGCGGCGTCGCCCGTGCGGTAGAGGCGCCGCTCGCCGAGCACCTTCGGCGCCGCGTCGACGAAGCGGCCCAGCGGGCCCGCGGGCGCGTCGGGGAAGGCCGCGGCGTCGCCGTCGACGTAGCCCGTCGCGAGAATGCCGCCGAAGCAGAGCTCGCCCGCCTCGCCCGGCGGCGCCGCGTCCAGGCTGCCCGCGCGCAGCACGACCACGAACGCGTTCTTCACGGGCGTGCCGACGAGCACGACGTCCGCCGCGCTCCGGAAGGTCCGCGGCGCGACCCAGGCCGTCATCGACGCCTCCGTGGGGCCGTAGACGTTCGCGAGGTCCGCGCCGGCGACGCTCTCGTAGAACCGCTCCACGAGGGGCCCGTCGAGCGCCTCGCCGCACTGCAGCACGTAGGACAGCGCCGGCAGCGGCGCCGCCGCGAGGTCGTCGACCAGCAGCCGCAGCACGGACGACACGACGAAGACGTGGCTGCAGGCCGACGCGCGCAAACACCGCGCGAGCGCCGACGGATCCCGCTCCGCGCCCGGCGGCGCGAGCACGCCCGTCCCGCCGACGGCGAGGGGCCAGTGGAGCTCCCACTCGCTCACGCCGAACGCGTAGCTCGTCTTGCAGCACAGGGCCCGCGGGTGGCCGAAGGCGTCGCCCAGCCAGGCGACGCGCGCGACGAGGCACCCGTGCGGCACGACGACGCCCTTGGGCGCGCCCGAGCTGCCGCTCGTGTATATGACGTAGACCGGGTCGTCGGGCGCGCGGCGCGGGCGCGGCGACGTGGTCGGTGGCGTGCGGGGTCGCCGGCCGACGACGACGAGCGCGCCCCGGAAGCCGCCGGGCGCGGCGCCGCCGTCGACGACGAGCGCGTCCGCGCGCGCGCCCTCGAGCATGGCGCGCTGCCGCGGCTCCGGCGACGTCGCGGCCAGCGGCACGTAGGCGGCGCCGGACGCCAGCGCGCCGTAGACCGCGGCGTAGGCCGCGAAGCCGCGCGCGCAGCGCACGCCCGCGACGGCGACGCCGCCGCCGAGGCGCTCGGCGACGGCCGCGGCCCAGTCCGCGAGCGCGCCGTAGGTCACCGCGTCGCCGCCGAGGCTCAGCGCCGTCGCGTGCGCCGTGCGGCGCGCGCGCGCGAGGCCGAAGAAGGCGTCCTGGACGAGCGCGCGCCGGTCGTAGTCCAGCGCCGACGACGCGCGCCGCGCGTGCTCGAGCTCGAGCGCCGCGCCGTCGTCCATGATCAGTGGGTCTATGCCATGCGGCGCGCGCGCCGCCGTGCGTCGTCGAGCCACGACGCGTAGCAGGTGCTTCGCTTCGGGCCGCGCGCCGGCGCAGCGAGTAGGCAGGCTTTTTTGCCACAAAGGCGAATCACTTTATGCCCCGGGCAGCATCATCATCGACCCACGTCGTATCCGTCTCATCCACATTCGAGTGTGTGCGTCCAGGGCTGCCCGCGACAGCCGAGTTTGCCCGCCAGCGTCGCGCCGCGTCGCCGGGGTCCCGGGCTCGGCCGCAGAGCGCGCGCCTCGGGGCCGCCATGGACAAGTACGGCGCGACGGCCGCGAGCGGCGAGTGGGAGAAGGACGCCGCGCGGTCGAGCCGGCGGTCCGGCGCGGCGGCGGCGGCGCCGGCGCCCGCCGTGCCCCGGGCGCGCGTCGTCGGCGGGCTCGTGCTGCTCGGCGTCTGCGGCCTGGCGCTCGTCGCCGGGAGCGTGCGGAGTCCCGGTGCGCCCCTCGGGGGCGCGGTCGCGGACTTCGCGGGGACGGGCGGCGGCGGCGAGGACACGGGGAACAAGCAGGACGGCCAGCCCGCGCCCCTCGCCTGCGAGGCCCACCTGCGGTCCGAGATGGTCTTCAAGGGCGTCGAGGTGACGAACATGACGTCCATCCAGAAGTCGCTGCTCGAGACCGTCGCGGAGGACGCGATCGGGAAAGTGCTCAACGGCATGACGGGCTTCCAGGCCATGACGGCCATCTGGTCCTACCCCGTCGACGGCAAGTGCTGGGTGAAGTTCTACTTCCAGGTCGAGTTCATCATCATCCCGGGCAAGGACGACCAGGACGAGATCTCGACCGGCGAGGAGCTGACGAACCGCGCGATGCGGTACCTCGTCAAGCACATCCAGAACGGGGACATGGCGGACCAGTGGGTCGACTCGAACACGCAGCTCGGCTCCGAGACCTTCCTCTTCGGCAACATCACGGACGACGAGCTCTCCGACTACTTCGACGAGGAGATGTCGATCTACGCCGTCGACGAGGACACGAAGCTCCTCTGGCTCGAGACCTGCACGCCGCCGTCCCTCGCGCCGGCCGTGACCTACACGCCGTCCATCTCGCCGGGCCCCGTGGGCACGCCGACGGCGCTCCCGTCGCTCGCGCCGACGACGTGCCCGAGCACGTACGCGCCGTCCGCCGCGCCCGTCGTGCCCTACCCGGCGCCGACGGTCGGGCCCGTGATCCCGCCGACGCCCCAGCCGACGGACGTGCCGTCCATCGCGCCGACGAAGTACCACACGCTCTCGCCGAGCATCAAGCCGACGGAGAGCCACATGACGTGCGTGCCGTCGCCGTGCCCGGGCCGCAAACTGAACGAGTTCGGCGTCGAGATCGACGACCCGGACTACGCCGAGGAGGCCGAGGACCAGCTCAGCGACGCCGAGGCCGACGCGCTCGTCGCGGCCTTCGACGCGAAACGGGCCGAGGCGCTCAACGCGGCCGTCTCCGAGAGGTAGGCGGCCTCGGCCTCGTCGGCGCGGCGATCGACCCCCCGCCCGCGTCCTCCCTCCTCCCTCCGCTCTAATCAACCGTTTATCCTACACTTCGTGCCAGTGCGGCCGCGCGCCACGCGTGAAGTTTATGGAGGAATCATGCTCAGCGCAGACGACGCCGCCTTTGAAATTTGGGCTTTGGTGCTCTTTCCGTCATGGGAATAAAACTGCACTTCAGCCGGCGACTCGACGTAGTGCAGAAGGGGGGACGGAATTTGCGCGAGCTGGGTGAGAAGCGCGACGGCGCCGGCATCGACGAGCGCGGCCCGATGGTTGCGGCCAAACAAACCGAGCGCCGTCGCGGCATCTGCAGAGCCATATGGCCGCCGTCTCCGCAGAATATCCACGATAGCCGCAATGGCACCGGCGTCAACGAGGGCAGCCTGGTTGGCGACGTCATCGAAGGCGAGGTCCGCGATCAGCCTTAAAGGACCATGGCAAAATATGAAGTGCTCTGACCGCAGGAGCGCCATAAGCCGCGCGACCAATTTGAGATTGACAAGGGCAGCGCTGATCGCAGCGTTGCCGCGAACGAGTGCGCCGATCGCGCCTGCGGCAGACTCTATAAACCAAACGGCCTCAGATAATTTGGCTCGGCATGGCAGGAGCCATTCGTGTTCGACTCGCAGCATCTCGAGCAGCGGCTCATGAGCGCCGAGATCGAAGCACGCCGTCTGGTTTGCTGCACCTCCCCTAGCCAACTGCCGGATCAAACACGCAAAGAGTCGTGGACGCTCCAGCAGAGGGCTATCGCGCGTCACGGGTGGCATCATCGCCACGCTGGTCCGCAGCGCGTCAATGAGTGGCAGGAGAGCACCAGCGTCAGTAATAGCCATGCGATTGACGGGCTCCTTCGATGCGAGGCTTGTCAGCGCCTTCACCGCGACCTCCTGTGTCTCGGGATCGTCGGACCGCATCATTTCCACGAGTGACGGGATAGCTCCCGAGGCAGCGAGCGCCGGATGATTGAAAAGATGGCCCCAAGCGATGAGACGTGATATCATAACCGCCACTTCTTTCTTGACGTCGTTGCTACCGGTCAGGAGCTCCAAGGCGGGCAAATATACGTCGGCGATCATGCGTCGGCGATCGACGCGTTTGCATTCGATTATCATCCAGCCCACCAACATCACGACATGGATCTTAGTCACTTCAGAGCCAGTCTTCAGCAGGTCTACGAGCGGCGAGACGACGCCCGCATCGAGAAGCGCGGACGTCACTCGCTCGCGGTGGCAAGTGTAGTCGCAGGTCATACAGACCAAAGCCACCATGACAAAATCCTGAGTCTGGGCGTTGTCAGCTCGCAGTAGCTTTACAAATGGCGCGATTGCGCCGGCATCCATGATCGCGGTTATCACACCCGTTTGGTAAAAAGGGCGACGCGCGAAACTTGCGAAATTCGATAACGCATACGCGGCCCAGGCCTCACCGCTACCGTCGCCGTCGTGCGTAGACAGGAGGTTGACCATCGGCTGGATAGCACCGGCGATGCAGATGGCATTCGAGAGAACCGCATTGTCGTCACTGAGCCGTGCCAGCACCGCGGCGGCGCACACCTTCGCATCGTAGTCGCCGCCCGAGGCCAGCAGGTCGACGAGCGCCTCGAGTCCACCGACATCGATGATGGTGAGACCGTCGGCAGCCTCGGCAACAGGATCTGCCTCGTCAAGTAGCATCGCGTCCAGCGCCATCGCGGCCTGGCGCTTGCCCTCGAGGTCGCCGATGCGCAAAGTCGAGACGAGTCGCGCGATCCGAAGGATGTTCGGGTTCTTCTTCTGCGCTTTCTTCAGCTGCGCGTCGATCGACTTGCGCCAGAGCGCAGACGTGCGCCGCGCGACCGTCGCGTCGACATAGGGCAGGAAGTCAAGCGCGGAGGCCCAACAGTCCTGCGGAAGCGTCGGCACGCGCCGAACGGCCCCGGACTTCGAGGGGAAGAGGCCCATGGCGTCGGGCCGGTTCGCAGCGCTGCTGTAAGACGCTCCCTGTTGCGTGCTTCGCGCGAAGAACTCGCGCCCGGGAGGCGAGCCGTGCGCAACGCACGGGCGCACTGAGCTCTTGCCTCAACCTTGAGCAAGCTCCGAGGCTCGCCGAAGCAGACTCGAAGCTCGAGGACGCCTCCGGGGCAAGTCCAGCTTATCGATGATGATGCGCTCCAGGGGGGTTCGCGGGGTACCTCGGCGAACCGACGATGGCATCGAGACTCGAGGCCTGCATCGCACTACATTAGTGAGGTAAACATGCTTAGATCAGGAAGCGCGAGTCGACGAGCGTGCGGTCCGACAGGTTCGACTCGCCCGCGACCTGCCGGAGGATGCGGAGGCCGTGGTGCGAGAGGAAGACGACGAGGATCGACAGCCACGTCTGGCGGAACCACATGTCCGTCACCGCGAAGGTCAGCATCTCGTGGATCAGAAATTCGTAGTCGTGGCCGAGGAACGTCACGGACGTCCAGCCGTTGTCGCCGCCGAACCAGGGCTTGTCCGGCTGGAAGATGACCTTGCCCTTGGCCCCCGCGAGGCGCACGGACTGGGGCGGCGGGTAGAACGAGACCCGCTCGAAGACGTTGGGCACGCGGAGCTCCCAGTCGAGGTTGTGCTCGTCGGCGTAGCCGTGCGTGAGGAAGGTGCGGAGGAAGGCGCCGACCTGCTCCATGGTGCCCGTGCGGCCCTTGTGCGCCGCGACCGTCGTCGCGCGCGCGGCGCCGAGCGCGTTCGACGAGCCGCGGCCGCCGAAGAAGGACTGGACGAGCGACGGCGGCTCGAAGCCGCGGCCCGCGCCCGCGCCGCCGCCGCCGCCGCCGGCCGCCGCCGCGGACGCCGCGCCGCTGTTGACGGCCGTCCACGCCTGGCGGAACGCCGGGGTCAGCCAGAGCTGGAACGTCTGGATGTCCGGGAGCGCGCCGTCGAGGCCGCGGCCGATGGACTCCGCGTTCGCCTCGTTGAGGAGGTGCCGCGAGATGGAGTCCATGGTGTCGTCCGCGTGGGCCCAGGGCGCGTCGCCGTGGAGGTAGTAGCCGTGGAACCTGGCGTCGAAGACGAGCACGGACACCTTGGCCACGGTCATCAGATCGAGGAACGACTGCGCCGGCGGCTCGCCGAAGAACCGCTCCCACACAAAGTAGTTCCAGAGCCACTGCCCAAAGGCGAGGACGCACCACCACCAGGTCGTCGACGCGAAGCGCAGCGCCATGTTCGCGTGGCCGTCCGCGAGGTCCTCGAGGTCCGGCACGGCCGTCGCCGCGTTCTCGAGCTGCTCGCCCACCAACAGCCAGCCCAGCAGGAAGAGGATGAAGGTCACGTTCGTGCGCCGCACGGTCTGGAGCTCGTTCCACTCGTTGGCCACGAAGAGCGTGCGCCAGATCGACACGGGCACCTTGTGCCTGAGCGTCTCGGACCGCGGCCGCTCCCAGTCGACGAAGAAAATGTCGACGGAGCACTGGTCGTAGATGACCTTGAGCACGTTCGCGGTCTGGAACGCCCAGAGGCTCACGAGCATGACGCGCACGGGGTAGTACTCGTAGCCCTTGCCGTCCTCGCGGTTCTCGCGCGGCAGCAGCAGGTAGACCGTGTCCTGGAGCTTGAAGAAGACGAGGATGTAGCTGCTCATCGCGAACATGAACGGGAAGAAGATGTGGACGAAGAGGCGGCAGTAGAGCATGACCCACTTGATGAAGTAGACGAACCTATCGGCGACGACGTTTCGTCGCCGTCCCGCCCCGAATCTCTCGAACATCGCCGCGGGACGCCGGGGCGCGCATGTACTCGTCCTGGGGGAAGCCCGACGTGACGTCGCCGCCGTAGTTCTCCGCCTGCCAGTTGCTGTAGTAGTAGATCCAGCACATGCCCGACAGCGAGAGGAGCACGAAGAAGAGCGCGTCGCAGATGCGCCAGAACTCGGACGAGTCCATGTAGTAGTAGCAGTAGAACTCGACCTTGTCCTCGCGCATCTTGCGGTCCTCGCCGACCTTGAGCAGGCCGCGCTCGCGGAACTTGAGCTCGACGTGGGGCGTGTAGATCCGCGAGGGCTTCTCGTTGCGGACCTCGACGTGGACGATGGCCTCGACGAGGTAGCGCACGTAGGTCGGCCCCGCGAGCTCGCCCGGGTTGTTCAGGTCGTCGTCGAAGGGGACGGCCGTCGTCGCGTCGAAGAGCGAGAAGCGGCGGCTGAAGACGTTCTCGTCGAAGTTGTTCGACTTGCCGTTGCGGTTCGGCTTGTTGCCGTCCTCGTCGCGGAGCGTCTTCATGAGCACGGGCACCGGGTAGAGGCACCGCGTGTCGCCGTCCTGGGCCTTGTTCTCGCAGTCGCCGTCGCGGTCGACGACGTACAGGTCGTAGAAGACGAGCTCCCGGCCGACGAGGCTCGGCAGGTAGCAGCGGAAGTGCTCCTGCCACGAGTGGCCGAATAAGGTCCATTTCGTGCCGCGGTTCGCGCCGCCGCCGAACTTCGTGCGCGGCGTCTGCGTCTCGCAGTAGAAGAAGTCCGCGTCGAAGGGCTCGCTGCCGAGGAACGTGCCGTTGAGCGCGTACGCGAGCGCGCGGAGCTCGAGCTTGTGGTAGCGGTTCCGCGCCGACGCCGTGAACGCGAAGGGCGTCTGCACGCCCGCGTCCTTGCGCACGGTCTCGCCGTCGGCGTCGTAGAGGAGCCAGGGCAGCGACTCCTGCGCGCCCTCGTCGTGCTTGTCGCCGCGCTCGTCGCGGAGCTCCTCGTAGAACTCGCCTGGGCCGAATTCAAATCTTCAACCCGACTTCAATGTGCGCGTTTTGACACAATAATTTTCACTGTGCTTCGGGAACTCGACGAGAGCAATCGATTCGTCCAAAAATCGGCCGAATCGACGTCGATGTGACCGAGCTAGAGAGTTCTGAAGTTTGGTGGGGACCCCCCAAACCGGTGAATTCGGCACGGGAACTCGCAGGCCTCGGCGTCGAGGCGGTAGCCCGTCATCACGCACAGATTCGCGAGCGTCTGGCAGGCCGCGTCCGCCGACGCCGTGCCGTCGTGGTAGAGGCACCGCGTCGAGCTGTTCACGAACATGTGGTGGAAAACCGCGGAGTCGAACGCGTCGTAGCCCTCCGCGTCGCCGCCCTTCTGGGTCTGGATCGCGTCGTAGACGACGAGGCCCGCGTCGTCGACGTCCGCGCGGTCCTCGAGCTCGTCGCGCTGCGACGACAGCACGCAGCTCCGCGCGCCGACCGTCGCCTCGCCGACGGCGTCGTAGCCCGCGGCGCACGCGCACGCGGACCCGGTCCAGGCCATGCGCGCGTCGGGGCAGCTCGCGCAGGCGTAGGGGTTCCCCGGGTAGAAGGCGCCCGCGACCCAGGAATCGCCCCAGGCCGCGAAGCGGCCGGCCGCGCAGGCCGCGCAGGCCTTGCTCTCCAGGTACGCGCCGTCGTGGCCGACCTCGACGAGGATCGCGTCCGCGTCCGCGCAGCCGCAGTCGCCCGTCGCCGCGTCCACGCCCGTCGTCGTGTCGCCGCAGAGGGCGCAGGCGGAGCCGTCGGCGTACGACGCCTCCGCGCACGGCGCGCACGCGACCGACGCGCACGCGCCGTCGGTGGAGCAGGCCGCGGAGCCGTCGACGAACGCGTAGCCCGCGGGGCACGCGCAGGACCGCGCGTTCCCGAAGGCGTCGAAGTCGGCGCCGACGAGCACGGCCGCCGTCGCGTCGTCCGCCGCCATGTCGCTGCAGTCCCGGCACGCCAGCGTCACCGTGTCGAAGTACGCGTCCGAGGCGCACTGGCCCGTCGTCTCCGACGAGACGTACATCGTCGCGGCCGTGTCGTCGGCCCGGGCGACGGCGACGAGGCCGGCGAGGAGCAGCGGCAGCCGCCGGTCCATCGTGTCGGTGCACTGCCTTTGAAAATGGGCAGCGCGGCGAGTTGCAGAGTTCAAGCAAACGATGTGCGCGGCTCGTCCGGGGGATCCGTCGCCGCGAGCGGCGAGGCTTCCTATCTCGNGGCGCCGGATCCCCCGGGACGGTCCCGCGGACGAGCCGCGCGAACAAACCGAACGCGCGTCGTCGAGGTCCAGCCAGCGGATCCGGCGACGCGTGAATAGGAGTCGTGGGGCTTCTTCCCCTTTCACGCGCCGGGAGGACTGCAAAAACGACGTGGGAGGGGCTCCAGGGTGTAGTTAGTCCCGGGGCAGACCGCGAGCGGGAGGGCGCTCTAGGGAGATGCGCGGAGAGGAAGTCTAGCGTGGATATGAGTTTAATGGGCGCGCGCGCGACGACAGGCGCGGGAGGAGCGCGGGGGGTCGAAAAACAGGCGCGCGCCGCGGTCCGCGAAGTCGGCCGCTCGCGAGCGAGTCCGCGACAAGTCTTCCCGCGAATGGGTGGTGTTCGAAAACACCGGTGGTTGTGAGTGGTGGCGCCGCGGAGCGCGCCGTGCGCCGGACTTGTAGCCAGGGCCGGCCGGCGCCGGTCGACGCGCGCGCGGAGCCGTCGAAGGCGCTTAGGCCTTGGACTTGGACTTCTTGGGGAGAAGCACGGCGTGGATGTTCGGGAGAACACCGCCCGACGCGATCGTGACCGAGCCGAGGAGCTTGTTGAGCTCCTCGTCGTTGCGGACGGCGAGCTGGAGGTGGCGGGGCACGATGCGCGCCTTCTTGTTGTCGCGGGCGGCGTTGCCCGCGAGCTCGAGGATCTCCGCGCAGAGGTACTCGAGGACCGCGCCCATGTAGACGCCGGCGCCGACGCCGACGCGGCCGGCGTACTTGCCCTTCTTCAGGAAGCGGTTGAGGCGCGCGACCGGGAACTGGAGCCCGGCCTTGGCCGCCTTGGAGGTGCCGGCCTTGCCGGACTTCTTGCCGCGTCCACCCTTTCCTTTGCCAGACATGATGTGATGTGTGTTGTACCTGGGGCGGGGGGGCGGTGAGCGAAGGCGTGCGGGGGGCGCGAGGGGGCGCGCGGCGGGCGGCGAACGGACGCGGGTCGGCACGAGTTGGTTCGTAAACTGAGAGACGACCAAAATCGCCTCCGGCCGACCGGCTCGCTCCGCACCGGAAGTACAAAAATCTTTTCGTCCGACCAATCGTCAAGCCGGATTTCAAAAGGTTGACGTCAATTTGACCTTTTTATCGGCTCGCTGCCTCGGAAGTACAAAAATCTTTTGTCCTCCGAGGTGATTTGGCCCTCTCTCAGCTTTGCAAACCACACGCAAATCATCAAAATGGCCAAGACTCCCTCCAAGAAATCCGCCAAGGCGCCCAAGAAGGCCGCCGGCGGCAAGAAGAAGAAGACGCGCGTCGAGTCGTACTCCACGTACATCTACCGCGTGCTCAAGCAGGTGCACCCCGACACGGGCATCTCCAAGAAGGGCATGTCGATCATGAACTCGTTCATCAACGACATCTTCGAGCGCATCGCCCTCGAGGCCTCCAAGCTCTGCCGCTTCTCCAAGAAGGCGACGCTCTCGTCCCGGGAGATCCAGACCGCGGTCCGCCTCATGCTCCCCGGCGAGCTCTCCAAGCACGCCGTCTCCGAGGGCACCAAGGCCGTCACCAAGTTCTCGTCCTAAGCGCGAACTCGGCGACCGCGACCGTCGCCCCTCCTCGGGGGAGCGACGCCGTCGCGTCGGTCACCACAACCACACCGGTGTTTTCGAACACCACCCTCTCGACGGAAGACTTCCCGACGGCTCGACGCGCTCGCGACGGCCCAGGTGGGTCCAGGCGGCGCCGCGCGCCCCCCCCCCGCGCCCCGAGAGGAGGTGCGGGCCGTCGCGTTCGCCCGCGCGAGCGCGTCCGGTCGCCGCGCGGCCGGGGCGACGCGTTCGAGCCGGGGTTCGCCGAACTTTTCGCGTCGACCGCGACTCCGCCGCCATACGCGCTCCACCTGCCCCGCTCTTCTTCCCTCCCGCTCCCGTATCAATTTAAAACACTTCCAGTCTATGTGCGCACGCTTACGCACCCATGCGTCGAGCGCTCCAGGTAGGGACCGCCCCTAGGACGTCGTCGGGTCGTCGCTTCACGCGTCGCGCATGAAGGTTATCATCGGCGCCGCTAGGGGCCTACACAACCCTCGCGCGCACGCCCGACGCGTCGCCGTTGATGCGGTCGCGCGCGGCGACGGCGTGCTCGCGCGCGTCGAAGGGCACGCGGCAGCGGCCGCCGACGGGCTGCGGGACGCGGCCGAGGCGGACGCTCGCGTCGTGGCCGCGGCAGAGGTCCTTGACCTGCTTCCAGTCCATCGGCGGCAGCCCCTCGAGGTCGAGCGCGGCCGAGTCAATCTGGTCTCTGGGTCGACTCACCTGAACGGCGCACTCTCGCGCGCGGCGTCCGCCCGGGCCGCCGCGCTCCCGCCTCGGGAGCCAGGCGTCGTCGGGGCTCAGGGCCTCGAAGGCGCCCGCCCCGCGCGGCTCGCCGTCCGCGCCGAGGACGGCGAAGGGGAGCGGCAGGCTCCCGAGCTGGACGTTCGTGAGGACGACGCCGAGCTGGAAGCCGCCGCGGCGCCACCCCGGAGCCGAGAGGTTCGCGCTGCCGACGTAGACGAAGCCGCGGCCGCCGCGGCCCGCGCGCGCGACGAGCTTCGCGTGCGACGGCTCGTGGCCCGGCGCCCCGTCCGGCCGCGCCGCGACGAAGCGGACGAGCGCGGCGCCGCGCTTCTCGGCGACGCCGACGAGGCCGCCGCGCGTCGCCGCGTAGGCGCCCCCGAGCCGCGGGGCGTCGCCGCGGCGCGGCCAGTGCACGAGCGCGACGTCGCAGTCGTCGGCCTTGAGCCGGAGCGCCTCCGTCGCCGGGCGCGCGCCGTGGAACGACGAGTAGCAGTGCGTCGGGTCCGCCGCGTCGAACGCGCCGGCCATGCGCGCCGCGACGACGGCCTTGAGCCGCTTCGCGCCGATGGCCTCGCCCGGGGACAGGGCGTCGACGCCCCGCGTCGCCTCGGCGACGGCGCGCGCGAA